CTCCTTGCATCACTTCTACTTTGTAAAAACTTCTCATATGCTAACTTTTTCTCCCTTACTACTCTCTTTACATCATCATTCCACCAATCGCTCCTCTTCCCTCCCGCACCCACTTTCCTGTAACCACAAACTTCTGCTGAACACTCTAACACTACATTTTTAAACCTACCCCATACCTCTTCGACCCCATTGCCTATGCTCTCATTAGCCCATCTATCCTCCAATAGCTGTTTATCTTTTTCCCTAACTGCCTCCTCTTTTAGTTTATAAACCTTCACCTCTCTCTTCCCTGATGCTTCTATTCTCCTTGTATCCCATCTACCTTTTACTCTCAGTGTAGCTACAACTAGAAAGTGATCTGATATATCTGTGGCCCCTCTATAAACATGTACATCCTGAAGTCTACTCAACAGTCTTTTATCTACCAATACATAATCCAACAAACTACTGTCATTTCGCCCTACATCATATCTTGTATACTTATTTATCCTCTTTTTCTTAAAATATGTATTACCTGTAACTAAACCCCTTTCTATACAAAGTTCAATCAAAGGGCTCCCATTATCATTTACACCTGGCACCCCAAACTTACCTACCACACCCTCTCTAAAAGTTTCTCCTACTTTAGCATTCAGGTCCCCTACCACAATTACTCTCTCACTTGGTTCAAAGGCTCCTATACATTCACTTAACATCTCCAAAATCTCTCTCTCTCCTCTGCATTCCTCTCTTCTCCAGGTGCATACACGCTTATTATGACCCACTTCTCGCATCCAACCTTTACTTTAATCCACATAATTCTTGCATTTACACATTCATATTCTCTTTTCTCCTTCCATAACTGATCATTCAACATTACTGCTACCCCTTCCTTTGCTCTAACTCTCTCAGATACTCCAGATTTAATCCCATTTATTTCCCCCCACCGAAACTCCCCTACCCCCTTCAGCTTTGTTTCGCTTAGGGCCAGGACATCCAACTTCTTTTCATTCATAACATCAGCAATCATCTGTTTCTTGTCATCTGCACTACATCCACGCACATTCAAGCATCCCAGTTTTATAAAGTTTTTCTTCTTCTCTTTTTTAGTAAATGTCTACAGGAGAAGGGGTTACTAGCCCATTGCTCCCAGCATTTTAGTCGCCTCATACGACACGCATGGCTTACGGAGGAAAGATTCTTTTCCACTTCCCCATGGACAATAGAAGAAATAAAGAAGAACAAGAGCTATGTAGAAAAAGGAGAAAAACCTAGATGTATGTATATATACATGCATGTGCATGTCTGTGAAGTGTGACCAAAGTGTAAGTTGGAGTAGCAAGATATCCCTGTTATCTAGCGTGTTTATGAGACAGAAAAAGACACCAGCAATCCTACCATCATGCAAAACAGTTACAGGTTTCTGTTTCACAGTCATCAGGCAGGACGGTAGTACTTCCCTGGGTGGTTGCTGTCTACCAACCTACTACCTATTTTTGTCAGCATATTTACCCCCTTCGCAACAACAGCATCCTTGATTTCCTTTTTCTTGGCTATGATGGAAGATATGGTTGTACGGGATTTGTTATACATCCTGGCCAGTTCGCCCACACGTACGCCACTATCATATTGTTCAATGATGTTTTTCTTAAATTCAATTGTATTTCTCACCTTCTTTACCAAAGGCTTGGCACAAGGAGCTTTCTTTGGAGCCATGGTAGCTTATTTAGCACTTAAATAACTTGCAAGCACTAAAATAAATGAAATATTATGAAATATTTCGCTGGAGCACGTGAGGGGACCATTGCTCACTGGTAAACAATGGCACACTGGCTGGGAAGGAAAGGCCGAGGCGGCTCGAGGCCGCTCAGACCGTGAGTACGCGTCCGGGACGAAGGACTATTAGACAGTTACCGGACCATTTCCGAGCCAATATTTTGACGAAAAAACAGGACTATTTCCGAAATGGATGACTTTCAGGCCGGACGATTATTGAGGGACCACTGTATATCCCTCCAAACTGCCAATATCCCAAACCCCTTTGCAGGCATTGTACTTCCCATTTCCAGGACTCAAGTCCGGCTATATAAAAATAACCGGTTTCCCTGAATCCCTTCACTAAATATTACCCTGCTCACACTCCAAACAGATCGTCAGGTCCCAAATACCATTCGTCTCCATTCACTCCTATCGAACACACCCATGCACGCCTGCTGGAAGTCCAAGCCCCTCACCCTCAAAACCTCCCTTACCCCTTCCAACCTTTTCGAGGAGGCCCCCTACCCCGCCTTCCTTCCCCTACAGATTTATACGCTCTCCACATCATTCTACTTTGATCCATTCTCTCTAAATGACCAAACCACCTCAACAACCCCTCTTCAGCCCTCTGACTAATACTTTTATTAACTACACACCTTCTAATTTCCACACTCTGAATTTTCTGCATAATATTTACACCACACATTGCCCTTAGACAGGATATCTCCACTGCCTCCAACCGCCTCCTTGCTGCTGCATTCACAACCCAAGCTTCACACCCATATAAGTGAGTTGGTACATAGATAACGCTTTTTGACTCCACATATACCTCAACGTACCACTCACCTCTTTTCCCTCATCAATTCTATGATTAACCTCATCCTTCATAAATCCATCCGCCGACACGTCAACTCCCAAGTATCTGAAAACATTCACTTCTTCCATAATCCTCCTCCCCAATTTGATATCCAATTTTTCTTTATCTAAATCATTTGATATCCTCATCTCCTTACTCTTTTCTATGTTCACTTTCAACTTTCTACCTTTACACACACTCCTAAACTCATCCACTAACCTTTGCAATTTTTCTTTAGAATCTCCCATAAGCACAGTATCATCAGCAAAAAGCAACTGTGTCAATTCCCATTTTGTATTTGATTCCCCATAATTTAATTCCACCCCTCTCCCAAACACCCTAGCATTTACTTCTTTTACAACCCCATCTATAAAAATATTAAACAACCATGGTGACATTACACATCCCTGTCTAAGACCTACTTTTACTGGGAAGTAGTCTCCCTCTCTTCTACACACCCTAACCTGAGCCTCACTATTCTCATAAAACTCTTTACAGCATTTAGTAACTTACCACCTATTCCATATACAGGTCTCCCTCAACATTTGCGAGGGTTAGGGGATCAAGAGCCTCGCGAATGTTGAAAAATCGCGAATGTTTGGTGCCCCAATATATTGTAGGGAAATATAATACAATACTTCTTAACTTGTTGAACCATGAACAGTCATAAAATACATGAAAACATCATAAATTATACTAAATACATACATGTTATGGTTTAATAACATGTATGTTATTAAATACCACTGCCTCCGCTTCCTTGACCACTGCGAGTCCCTACTACCCTCCCTCCGACCCCAGCAACTGGCAGCCAGCCCTCCCACCAGTGTGGCGAGTGTTTTGTTTGTTCATTATTTGCTATTAAACTACAGTATAAATACGTAATGTAAACCCATTCATTACTGCATATTGGAATGGCTATTCAGACAGGTATTGGACGGTGACATCATGTGTTTACTCTTGAACACAGCAAAGAATCAAACATTTCTGCTACTGCTAATAATAACAATAGTAGTAGTAATAATAATAATAATAATTATAATAATAAATACGATAGAATTGAAGATGGAAATTGTACAAAAATAGGAGGGAGTGGTTGACACATCGTCAGTGTGGCTTTGTTTATGCTGGAGAGAGCATTAGTCTCCGTGCTCTTCCAAACATTTCACAATAATTCATTGTGTTTGGTGCTTGTAGATTGAATGTGACTGGAGTGGTAGAGGCAGTGCATGAAATTACCGCATCCCTTTCTTTGTCGACATTTAAAAGTTCCTCAAAATATTCTCGCCATCTACCCAAAACCTCTATCTCCCCATTTACTAACTCCCCTTCTCTGTTTTCAACTGACAAATCCATTCATTCTCTAGGCTTTCTTAACTTATTTAACTCACTCCAAAATTTTTTCTTATTTTAATTAAAATTTCTTGACAGTGCCTCTCCCACTCCATCATCTGCTCTCCTTTTGCACTCTCTCACCACTCTCTTCACCTTTCTTTTACTCTCCATATACTCTACTTTTCTTATAACACTTCTGCTTCGTAAAAACCTCTCATAAGCTAACTTTTTCTCTTTTATCACACCCTTTACTTCATCATTCCACCAATCACTCCTCTTTCCTTCTGCCCCCACCCTCCTATAACCACAAACTTCCAAGTGTATATCATCATATATCTTTCTCACATGCATTCCAGGGAGCACAAGTCAAGGGACTTCAGCCATTCCCAGTGACTGAGGTGCTTTATCATACTCATACGTGCTGTGAAAGTTCTGTGTACATTCTCCAGGTCTGTGATTTCACCTGCCTTGAAAGGGGCCATTAGTGTCCAGCAATATTCCAGCCTGGAGTTAACAAGCAATTTGAAGAAAATCATGGGCTTAGCATCCCTAGTTTTGAATGTTCTCATTATCCATCCTATCATTTTCCAAGTAGATGTGGTAGATACAGTGTTGTGATCTCTGAAAGTGAGATCCTCTGACATTATCACTCCCAGGTCCTTCACATTAGTTTTTCTTTCTATCTATTGTGTGGTTGGACTTTATTTTATACTCCAATGCAGTTTTAATTTTCTGGAGTTTTTCACATCAGAGTAATTGAAATTTGTCTTCACTGAACTTCATATTGTTTTCTGCGGCCCACTTAAAGATTTGATTAATGTCCGCTTGGAGACTAGTAGTGTCTTCACTAGATGACACTGTCATCCTGACTTTACACTAAGAAATTATTTATCTTACCTTGGTAAATATTTTTTGGGGGGAGGGAAAATTGTTGCTATTGTGTTTTTAACTAATGTTTGATCTGACAGGTTAATTATAAAGTTATTAAAGTCTCTAGTCCAGAGATTATTGATGTCTTAAATGTACTCCAGTTCTCCTTGTCTCTGGTACAGTGTAGTGGTACAATAGTCACCTGGGCTCCAGTTGGGGTTGTCCTTGTCTCTCTGGTATTGTCGTCGCCAGAAGAGCACACGGTCGGTCCAGGCTGGGATCCTCATCTTGTCACTGGTGTCATAGTCATCAGAGAAGAGGTCATACTTGTAGGTGGGTGCAAAGTTGATCTCTCCCTCAAGGAAACCCTTGAAACACTTGCCCTCACTATGACTTATCTGAGGGTAACAGTAAGAGTGTGAGTTAATACTTGCATCTGAGGAGGAGGAGGAGGAGGAAGAGGAGGAGGAGGAGGAGGAGGAGGAGGAGGAGGAGGAGGAGGAGGAGGTGGAGTGAGGGGGAGGAGGTGGAGGAGGTGGAGGAGGAGGTGGAGGAGGTGAGGAGGAGGAGGTGGAGGAGGAGGAGGTGGAGGAGGAGGAGGTGGAGGAGGAGGAGGTGGAGGAGGGGGAGGGGAGGAGGAGGAGGTGGAGGAGGAGGAGGTGGAGGAGGGAGGAGGTGGAGGAGGTGGAGGAGGTGGAGGTGGAGGAGGTGGAGGTGGAGGAGGTGGAGGTGGAGGAGGTGGAGGAGGTGGAGGTGGAGGAGGTGGAGGAGGTGGTGGAGGAGGTGGAGGTGGAGAAGGAGGTGAGGTGGAGGAGGAGGTGAGGAGGAGTGGTGGATGGTGGAGGTGGAGGAGGTGGAGGAGGTGGAGGAGGTGGAGGAGATGGAAGATTAGGTGGAGGAGGTGGAAGAGAAAGAGGAGGCTGTACTGCACCACTCATACTGGTGGTGCTGCACCACTCATACTGGTGGTGCTGCACCACTCATACTGGTGGTGCTGCACCACTCATACTGGTGGTGCTGCACCACTCATACTGGTGGTGCTTCACCACTCATACTGGTGGTGCTGCACCACTCACACTGGTGGTGCTGCACCACTCATACTGGTGGTGCTGCACCACTCATACTGGTGGTGCTGCACCACTCATACTGGTGGTGCTGCACCACTCATACTGGTGGTGCTGCATCACTCATACTGGTGGTCCTGCACCACTCATACTGGTGGTCCTGCTCCACTCATACTGGTGGTCCTGCTCCACTCATACTGGTGGTGCTGCACCACTCATACTGGTGGTGCTGCACCACTCATACTGGTGGTGCTGCACCACTCATACTGGTGGTGCTGCACACCAACTGGTGGGTGCACCATCACTGGTGGTCCTGCACCACTCATACTGGTGGTCCTGCTCCACTCATGTTGGTCATGCTGCACCACTCAGTCATACTGCACCACCCTTCTTACCTTTAGCTGGTCGTACTGCAGCAGGACGCTCCACTCCTTCCGCTGGACATAATCAATCACCTCGTCCCTGCTCAGGTTGATGCGGTAGTTGAAGTCGCCACACCAGAAGACGTAGTCATGTGCCCAGAGTGGCATACCCTGTAAGCAACACCAGGGAAATTACCAGTGCTCCTCGACTTACCATGGGGTTATGTTCCGACGGGCCCATCCTAAGTTGAAAACATCATATAGGAGGGCCCCACTTACAATGCTTCGCTTTATGGAGTTTCACTAATGCACAATTTTCAGCTACATGTATGCCCATTCTTCATTTATTCAGACTTCCTACAATAAATATATTCATCACTCACTATAAGGAAGAAAATATTTTATAGTAGTAATGTATATATTGTATATGCATGTTTTAGGCATAGCTCTATTGCTCACTTAATATATGAGAGTGTAAACATGTTATCAGGCTTTTGTATATATCTGAAAGTGAATAAAAGTTGTGTTTCACTTTACACAGTAGACTGGAACTTATCCTGTTGTATAAGTGGTGCCCTTCTGTATGTTGAATATGAATGTATGATAAATAAATAGGTATATAAATAACTACTCTAGGTAGTAGGTTGGTAGGCAGCAACTGCTCAGGAAGGTACTACTGTCCTGCCAAGTGAGTGTAAAACAAAAGCCTGTAATTGTTTTACATGATGGTAGGATTGCTGGTGTCCATTTTTCTGTCTCATGAACATGCAAGGTTTCAGGTACATCTTGCTACTTCTACTTACACTTAGGTCACACTTCACATACATGTACAAGCATATAGTATATACACACCCCTCTGGGTTTTTCTTCTATTTTCTTACTAGTTCTTGTTCTTGTTTATTTCCTCTTACCTCCACGGGGAAGTGCAACAGAATTCTTCCTCTGTAAGCCATGTGTGTTGTAAGAGGTGACTAAAATACCAGGAGTAAGGGGCTAGTAGCCCCTTCTCCTGTATAAATTACTAAATGTAAAAGGAGAAACTTTTGTTTTTCCTTTTGGGCCACCCCGCCTTAGTGGGATACGGCTGGTGTGTTGAAATAAAGAAAGATAAATAACTACTGTCTGTGAATAAGTAAATACAGTGGACCCCCGCCTTACGATATCAATCCGTTCCTGAGAGCTCATCGTAAGCTGAAATTATCATTAGCCGAATTAATTTTCCCTATAAGATATAATGGAAATCAAATTAATCCGTTCCTGACACCCCAAAATATGAATAAAAAATTTTTTTTACCACATGAAATATTAATTTTAATACACACAAACTGAAGAAGACATGCACAATTACTACTCTACTAAGAATAGAACACATGACACTTACCTTTATTGAAGATCTGGTGATGATTGATGGGATGGGAGGAGTGTGTGTGGAAGTTATTGTTTAGAAGGGGAATCCCCTTCCATTAGGACTTGAGGTAGCAAGTCCTTTTCCAGGGTTACTTCCCTTCTTATTTTAATGCCACTAGAACCAGCTTGAGAGTCGCTGGACCTCTGTCGCACAACAAATCTGTCCATAGAGCTCTGTACCTCCCGTTCCTTTAAGACTTTCCTAAAATGGGCCATAACATTGTCATTGTACAGGTTGCCAACACGGCTTGCAGTAGCTGTGTCAGGGTGATTTTCATCCGTAAAGGTTTGCAGCTCAACCCACTTTGCATACATTTCCTTAATCTCTTTTTTCAATTCCATACTAATTTTCGCCCTTTTTACCACAGGGATGGCACTAGAAGCTTTCTAGGGGTCCATGGTGACTTATTTTGCAGTTACAAGCACTAAAAACACTGGGATAATGTGAAATGTACTGAATGTATGCGTAGATGCGGCCACACTGGCTGGCTTGTAAACACTGGCACTGAGGCCACACGTGGGACGCGTCCTGGATGAATAACGTAAGGCGAGGCAAAATTTTTGCATTCAAATGCTTCGTATGGCGGATTTAACGTAACGCGATGTGTTCGTAAGGCGGGGGTCCACTGTAACTGTACTTTGTAAATAAAAAAAAATTGGTGAAAACCTCAGAGACAAAATCATAATCAATAAACTGAATAATTGCTGGAGACTTTAACATCTGTCAAATACACTCAGAAAGACCTGCAAGTTGCACCATGCTATGGTAGTACTAGTGAACACTGATGCTCTGGTAGTACTAATGAACATTGATGCTATGGCAGTACTAATGAACACTGATGCTCTGGTAGTATTAACTAGCCAGGAATCTACTGGTATTCCCCTCTTATGTATGCTAGGAGTCAGTTGAACAGTCTTGGGCTGTGGACATTTACTGTGTTGTCTCTTAGTGTATTCATGGCACCCCTGCTTTTCACTGCGGGAATGTTGCATCTCCAGCCGAGTCTTTCGCTTTCGTAGGGAGTGCAGATTTGGGACTTGTCCCTCTAGGATTTTCCAAGTGTATATTATGATATATCTTTCTCGTCTGCATTCCAAGGAGCACAGGTCAAGGAACTTCAATCGTTCCCAGTATCTGAGGTGCTTTATTGTATTTATAATTGCAGGGAAAGTTCTCTGTATATTTTCCAGGTCTGCAATTTCACCTGCCTTGAAAGTGCATTCTTTTCTGAATGTGACACTTCTCCTTTCTTATCATGTTTGGAAATTTTCTGGTGTGTTTATACAAGTAATTTTTCCCAAATAGGCACATCCCCTTAGCATAATATTTACAGATGCCCTGACTGCCTACATTTGATGAGTTTGACTCCTCACTTTCTGCCAAGTGATCTGCATTCTCTTGTTTTCTTCCCTCTGAGCATATTTCTTCTGGTTTTTCTATTTCCTGTTTTCCCTTCTCTTCCTCCCTTTCCTTTTTCTCAAAGTCTTATACCCTTTTTTTTGTCTCCTCTGTCCTGTCCTGAATGTTCATCTCTACCCTTATGTCAGCTCCTTGTTCCCTACCTTTTATTTCACAATCTTTATATATTTCTGGAAAGTTCCTCAGGAAATTTCTTACATTATCTAGGTTTTTGTTTTTTCAATACTTCCATTATGCCTGACCAGCTTTCCATCTCTCTGGGACAAATCCAGATGCATCTGTCCTGTTTAAGGTCACTTCTCATGGTTGAATTAAGTTTTGTACATGCTCCATGAGATGTCGTTCCATATATTCCACAATCAATGCCCTTTATTCTTCCCAGATTTCTTCCACATATACCACATATACTCTGTTGAGTATACCTGGTAAAGTGTATGGTAGAGTTATAATTGAAAGAATTAAGAGTAAGACGGAGAATAGGATAGCAGATGAACAAGGAGGCTTTAGGAAAGGTAGGGGGTGTGGACCAGGTGTTTACAGTGAAACATATAAGTGAAAAGTATTTAGATAAGGCTAAAGAGGTCTTTGTGGCATTTATGGATTTGGAAAAGGCGTATGACAGGGTGGATAGGGGGGCAATGTGGCAGATGTTGCAAGTGTATGGTGTAGGAGGTAGGTTACTGAAAGCAGTGAAGAGTTTTTACGAGGATAGTGAGGCTCAAGTTAGAGTATGTAGGAAAGAGGGAAATTTTTTCCCAGTAAAAGTAGGCCTTAGACAAGGATGTGTGATGTCACCGTGGTTGTTTAATATATTTATAGATGGGGTTGTAAGAGAAGTAAATGCGAGGGTCTTGGCAAGAGGCGTGGAGTTAAAAGATAAAGAATCACACACAAAGTGGGAGTTGTCACAGCTGCTCTTTGCTGATGACACTGTGCTCTTGGGAGATTCTGAAGAGAAGTTGCAGAGATTGGTGGATGAATTTGGTAGGGTGTGCAAAAGAAGAAAATTAAAGGTGAATATAGGAAAGAGTAAGGTTATGAGGATAACAAAAAGATTAGGTGATGAAAGATTGGATATCAGATTGGAGGGAGAGAGTATGGAGGAGGTGAACGTATTCAGATATTTGGGAGTGGACGTGTCAGCGGATGGGTCTATGAAAGATGAGGTGAATCATAGAATTGATGAGGGAAAAAGAGTGAGTGGTGAACTTAGGAGTCTGTGGAGACAAAGAACTTTGTCCTTGGAGGCAAAGAGGGGAATGTATGAGAGTATAGTTTTACCAACGCTCTTATACGGGTGTGAAGCGTGGGTGATGAATGTTGCAGCGAGGAGAAGGCTGGAGGCAGTGGAGATGTCATGTCTGAGGGCAATGTGTGGTGTGAATATAATGCAGAGAATTCGTAGTTTGGAAGTTAGGAGGAGGTGCGGGATTACCAAAACTGTTGTCCAGAGGGCTGAGGAAGGGTTGTTGAGGTGGTTCGGACATGTAGAGAGAATGGAGCGAAACAGAATGACTTCAAGAGTGTATCAGTCTGTAGTGGAAGGAAGGCGGGGTAGGGGTCGGCCTAGGAAAGGTTGGAGGGAGGGGGTAAAGGAGGTTTTGTGTGCGAGGGGCTTGGACTTCCAGCAGGCATGCGTGAGCGTGTTTGATAGGAGTGAATGGAGACAAATGGTTTTTAATACTTGACGTGCTGTTGGAGTGTGAGCAAAGTAACATTTATGAAGGGATTCAGGGAAACCGGCAGGCCGGACTGAGTCCTGGAGATGGGAAGTACAGTGCCTGCACTCTGAAGGAGGGGTGTTAATGTTGCAGTTTAAAAACTGTAGTGTAAAGCACCTTTCTGGCAAGACAGTGATGGAGTGAATGATGTTGAAAGTTTTTCTTTTTTGGGCCACCCTGCCTTGGTGGGAATCGGCCAGTGTGATAATAATAATAAAAAAAAATACCACAGATCTTATTTCTAGCCATTTTCACTGTGATTCCTCCATCTTTTATAGTTTATACTATACTATTCAAGTTAGGTAAATTTAGATTTAGAGAGGACTGGTTTGGTAACAGAGTTGTGGATGAGTGGAACAAACTACCAGGTAGCATCACTGATGACAGCTGAATGAGTGGGCGAGATTTGAGCCTGCCTAGCATGAGCCAGTAGGCCTACTGCAGTCCTCCATTATGTATGTTCTCACAGAAGGAGAATTGTGGTTCCAGCAAGGTCACTGATGATGAAACCTTCGGAAACTTTTTTTTTTTTTTAATTTGCTAGTCGTCTCCCACCGAGGCAGGGTGACCAGAAAAAGAAACGCTTTCACCATCACTGTCTTGCCAGATGCATGCAGATATGATAGTTTACATGTCCTTCTAAAGAGCAAACATCCCAAACCTTTCCTTAAGAGTAGAGGCATTGTACTTCCCACCTCCAGGACTCAAGTCTGGCTAACCCATTTCCCTGAATCCCTCAAACATGCGAGTCAAAAAGCTTGGATATAAGTAGAACTTGCTAGCATGGACCAGTAGGTCTGTTACATTGTTCCTCTATTTCAATGTTAGATATAAAATGTTCTGAGATATCACAACATTCTTGAAGAAGAGTTACAGAATGACATAGACCGTGACACTGTACTGGTAGTACTGTTGTACAAGACCATGTTCACTACAAGTGTACATGTGTGAAGGACCATGTTAACTGCAAGGGTACATGTAGGTATCAAGAAGTGTACAGGTTAGTAGTGTACAGTATTTGAAAAGTGTGCTGATGGAAAGTGGCTGCCACTTTCCCTGTCTACATTACTGATGTACACACATCTACACTACTGACATACACACTGATATACAAACATCTACACTACTGATATACAAACATCTACACTACTGACATACACACTGATATACAAACATCTACACTACTGATATACAAACATCTACACTACTGACATACACACTGATATACAAACATCTACACTACTGATATACACACAGCTACACTAGTGACTTATACACTGATGCACAAACATCTACACTACTGACATACAAACATCTACACTACTGACATACAAACATCTACACTACTGACATACAAACATCTACACTACTGACATACAAACATCTACACTACTGACATACAAACATCTACAATAACAAACAAGTGAGAGTACAAGTAGCAAAAGACTACTTAACTACACTATTACTTCATAGTTACATAATACAAGTACACTACAGTATGCTACACTACAGTACACTACAATATGCTACACTACAGTACATTACAGTATGCCTCACTACAGTACACTACACCACATCACAGTACACTAAAATACATTACAGCACACTACAGTTATTACAGTACATTACTGTACACTACACTACAGTTACTACAGCACACTACAGTACATTACTATACACTACACTACAGCACACTACAATACACTACAGCACAGTACACTACAGTGCATTACAGCACACTACAATACTCTCCAGTTAGTACTTACAAGAGGAAAGATCAATTTTCTAGCAATATTGTCATAATCGTTGTTACGTTCATTAACTTCCTTCTGGCCAGCAGCAAAATGGGAACACACGAATGCCATGGAGGTGTTTCGTACCACTAACCTGATACCCACACCGCCCTTGTTACCTGAAACACCAGTCACATGCATTACAAACAGTTTTTTTTATTTTCAATGAACGGGCTGTATCCCACCAAGGCAAGTTTAACAAGAAAAACTAAAGTTTTTCCTTTTAACTGTAGTAATGTATACAGGAGAAGGGATCACTAGCCCCTTGCTCCAGGCATTTTAGTTACCCCTTATGACATGCATGGCTTATGGAGGAACAATTCTGTTTCACTTTCCCACGGAGATAAGAGGAAATAAACAAGAACTAGTAAGAAAATACAGTGGAGCCTCAGTTTTCGTATGCCCTAGTTTGTGTGTAAAACTAGTATAGTTATTCTCTATAAAATGTATTGTTCGTTAATATTTCCCACAAGAAATAATATAAATCCAATTAATCCATTCCAGACACCCAAAAATATTAACAAAAAATACATTTTATGGAGAAAAACTATAGTTTTACATACAAACTAGGGCATACAAAAACTGAGGTTCCATTGTAGAAGAAAACCCAGAGGTGTGTGTGCGTGTGCACGCGCGTGTGTGCGTGTGTGTGTGTGTGTGTGTGTGTGTGTGTGTGTGTGTGTGTATATGCTTGTATATGTAGTGTGACCTAAAAAAGACACCAGCAATCCTACCATCATGTAAAACAATACAAACATTATTTGAAACTGAACTTTATGTATGAAAAAAAATGATTACTGGATATAACTAGGAGGTTTTAAGAGCTAGGAGCTTGGACATCCAGCAGGTGTGCGTGCGTGTGCATGTGTGTGTGTGTGTGTGTGTGTGTGTGTGTGTGTGTGTGTGTGTGTGTGTGTGTGTGTGTGTGTGTGTGTGTGTGTGTGTGTATACTCACCTAGTTGAGGCTGCAGGGGTCGAGTCCAAGCTCCTGGCCCCGCCTCTTCACTGGTCGCTACTAGGTCACTCTCCCTGAACCATGAGCTTTATCATACCTCTGCTTAAAGCTATGTATGGATCCTGCCTCCACTACATCGCTTCCCAAACTATTCCACTTACTGACTACTCTGTGGCTGAAGAAATACTTCCTAACATCCCTGTGATTCATCTGTGTCTTCAACTTCCAACTGTGTCCCCTTGTTACTGTGTCCAATTTCTGGAATATCCTGTCTTTGTCCACCTTGTCAATTCCTCTCAGTATTTTGTATGTCGTTATCATGTCCCCCCTATCTCTCCTGTCCTACAGAGTCGTCAGGTTGATTTCCCTTAACCTCTCCTCATAGGACATACCTCTTAGCTCTGGGACTAGTCTTATTGCAAACCTTTGCACTTTCTCTAGTTTCTTTACGTGCTTGGCTAGGTGTGGGTTCCAAACTGGTGCTGCATACTCCAATATGGGCCTAACATACACGGTGCACAGGGTCCTGAACGATTCCTTATTAAGGTGTTGGAATGCTGTTCTGAGGTTTGCTAGGCGCCCATATGCTGCAGCCGTTATTTGGTTGATGTGCGCTTTAGGAGATGTGCCTGGAGTTATCTCACCCCAAGATTTTTTTCCTTGAGTGGGGTTTGTAGTCTCTGGCCCCCCCTAGACTGTACTCCGTCTGCGGTCTTCTTTGCCCTTCCCCAATCTTCATGACTTTGCACTTGGTAGGATTGAACTCCAGTAGCCAATTGCTGGACCAGGTCTGCAGCCTGTTCAGATCCCTTTGTAGTTCTGCCTGGTCTTTGATCAAGTGAATTCTTCTCATCAGCTTCACGTCATCTGCAAACAGGGACACCTCAGAGTCTATTCCTTCAGTCATGTTGTTCACAAATACCAGAAACAGCACTGGTCCTAGGACTGACCCCTGTGGGACCCTGCTGGTCACAGGTAGGGTGAGAGAGAGAGAGAGAGTGTGAGTGAGTGAGTGTGAGTGTGAGTGTGAGTGTGAGTGTGAGTGTGTGTGTGTGTGTGTGTGTGTGTGTGTGTGTGTGTGTGTGTGTGTGTGTGTGTGTGTGTGTGTGTGTGTGTTAGGCAGAAGTGAGGGATGACTGGTCTTTGTGACGAAGTGCTGTAGGAGTGACAGTTATGAAGGGATTCAGGGAAACCAGTTTCCAGATTTGAGTCCTGGAGGTGGGCAGTACAGTGCCTGCACTCTCAAGGATGGGTGGAGGAAGGTAGTACACTGCTTGCATGCACTCTGAGTCAGTTTAAGTCAATTCCATTGCTCAATTCAACCAAATTCTTAGGTGTTTCACTAGTATGCCTTCTATTCTATCGATTGAGCACAAAAAACCGCCCATTCATCTATCAGAACTACTCTATAAAGTCCACCTAAATCAGTAATTTATCCAATTTTACACAAAATTAAAAAAATGCCAATTTAAAAACACAGCTCATGATAAATAGTGTAGACATTACAGCCACTAAAACAACATTTCCTCTCTGAGTAATCATATCCCCAAGCCATTTTGAATTCATAATAACAAAAATTCGAAGTTTTACCCTATTTCTTGGTTAATAAATTATTACCAGGAATGATTGGGTGGCCTGTGGCCTGGTAGGCAAGGCTCTCGCTTCACACACTGAGGGTCCGTGGTTTGATTCCCGGCAAGGGTGGAAACACTGGACGTTTTTTCCTTACACCTGCTGTCCCTGTTCACCCATCAGGAAAATAGGTACCTGGGTGTTAGTCGACTGGTGTGGGTTGCATCCTGGGACAAAATTGACCTAATTAGCCCGAAATGCTCTGCATAACCAGGGTTTTCTATATAGTAGCATGTCATTGATGTCAGCTAGGCCTGTATACCTTGTACATGTACTTCTAGAAATAAAAATATTATTATTGGTCATGGTATGAAATTCCATTAATTGAATGAGACAGTAAAAACCCACAAAACAGACAAAGGTGTAAGAGGCCTTACCCATCCTCAGGAAGATCGCCAAAAATCAAATATTTCCACTACTTTGAGCCCAATTTCAAACTACCTTCTGTTCCTGAAACCAACCAATCTGTATTTTAGTGGTATGTCTTCCATTCTATCTAATCTAATTAATGTTAGTCACTTCAATTACCTAACTTTTATATTAGTATACAATAATGTATATTAAAATGTACTGCTCCATAACCTGTGTCAATACAGAATAAGAATTAGAATTAGTCTACCCAAAATGCCTAGGCATGCTACTGGCCTTCTTCTTATTTTTTTTTTTTCAACAAACCGGCCGTATCCCACTGAGGCAGGGTGGCCCAAAAAGAAAAACAAAAGTTTCTCTTTCTAAATTAAGTAATTTATACAGGAGAAGAGGTTACTAGTCCCTTGCTCCTGGCATTTTAGTCACCTCTTACAACACGCATGGCTTACGGAGGAAGAATTCTGTTCCACTTCCCCATGGAGATGAGAAATAAACAAGAACAAGAACTAGAAAGAAAATAGCAGAATACCCAGAGGGGTGTGTATATATATGCTTGTACATGTATGTGTAGTGTGACCTAAGTGTAAGTAGAAGTAGCAAGACATACCTGAAACCTTGCATGTTTATGAGACAGACAAAAGACACCAGCAATCCTACCATCATGTAAAACAATTACAGGCTCTCGTTTTACACTCACTTGGCAGGACAGTAGTACCTCCCTGGGTGGTTGCTGTCTACCAATCTACTACCTAAATTCTTTGTAATTAAAATTTTATAATAAAAACCACACTTGTAAGCTTTGCAAAGAAATAAACATTTTCATTTTCAAATGATACCAAGAGCTCAAAAAAAAAAAAAAAAAAATTCTAGAAAACACCCCAAACATATGGGTCTGGTAGTCTGGTGGCTAAAGCTCTCGCTTCACATGGCGAGGGTCTGGGTTCGATTCTCAGCCGGAGTAGAAACATTGGGAGTAAACCTGTTGTTTACGTTCCCCATCAGTAAAATGGGTACCTGGGTGTTAGTGGACTGGTGTGGGTTGCATTCTGGGACAAAACTGACCTAATTTGTGGGAAATGCTCTGCATAACAAGAGGCTTTCTACCTAGTAGTAATTCATTGATGTCAGCTATGGTCTGTATACCTCGTACATGTACTTGTAGAAATGAAGATACACCTACCATCCGACTTACGACCGAGTTCGGTTCCGAGAAACCGGTTGTAAGTCGAAATGGTCGTAAGTCGAACTTTACTACTGAATATCAACAAAACATTTTTGTAATGACTTTATTTTATTGTTTTATTTTGGTATTTCACGTTTTACTTTACTTTTTATGCTGTTAGTACAGTGGACCCCCGCATAACGATCACCTCCGAATGCGACCAATTACATAAGTGTATTTATGTAAGTGCGTTTGTACGTGTATGTTTGGGGGTCTGAAATGGACTAATCTACTTCACAATATTCCTTATGGGAACAAATTCGGTCAGTACTGGCACCTGAACATACTTCTGGAGTGAAAAAATATCGTTAACCGGGGTCCACTGTACTGTATTTTATACTGTAAGGTTTAGGATAAACACTTTGTACAACACAAATAGTTGTTTATTTCCCAGAAATTTGGCATAAAAAACACGGTTGTAAGTTGAGTGGTCGTAAGTCGAGCAGGTCGTAAGTCGGATGGTAGGTGTATTATTATTATTATTACTTTTCCCACTATACACCGCATGGAGCACACCACCACAAAGGACAAAAATTGATCTCTCACAGCTTAGTGGAGTGAGCCAAGCTCAAAACATAGACCTACGTGGGTGATGCTGGTGTAAATAATGTAGAACTACCAAGAGACAGTGAAAGGGTCAAGGCCGAGTGGTTGTTAATGAGGTTTCAAATATATTTATTACAGGAGGGTCATAAAATCCTCTGAGGATCCAAGCTGTAGATCTACGCCTTGTCCAACAGGGTCCAAGAATTTTCAAAAAATATTTTTGTTATTTTTTCTTATGAAATGGTAGAAAATCTTTTTCTGAAGGTAATAAAACAAAAAGTATGAAATATGATGGAAAACTGACAAAATTACACTATCGCAAAATTTACTGCATCAGCGATATATACGTATCGGTGATTTTGCCCACTATGACTCCTATTTTAGGCCAATTACAT